CCTTTACATGATTAAACATTTTACGTATTACAGGTGAAAAACAAATTATCCCCAAGAACCCACATACATTCATGCCCAAGCAACTTGTAGATTAACAGAGTGTAAGCAAGCAAGATATTCCACTGACAGGCTGCATTTCGCAGTTACAAAGAATCAATTACTTTATTACTTATCTCAAAAGGTAATTTTAAAAGAACCACAAATCCAAACTTTTATATATGAAAAAGAATCAGTAAGCTCTGTGTTAAACCTTTAGGGTGCATACCCACTCATCAATAGTTTTTTTTTTTTATATCAGGAGATTGAGGGCAGAAATGGATATAAGGAATTAATCATCACATTTGGTCATCAATGTATCCAAACAAGAAAGGCACATCAGCTAATGATAATTGGGCTGCTTTGTTCTTGTTCCCTGACCTTGATGAGTTCTCATTCAATTATGTGCCTTTTTAAAACTTTAGATGGTCTTCTTGGGTTTTTCACCTCAAAGCTATTGGACACGCCCACTCACACCACGCCAGATACCAGAGGAAGATGCCAGCAGCAAATGTGTGAAGACACAGCAGAAGCTGAAGACATTCTGGAGTCTGTGGTCGTGGGGCCTCGCCTAGCTGGGATCCACCCTGAGATTCACCCATCAGGGATTTCCGTCTGGTGGGTTCACACCTCCATCTGCAATTGCCACCTGCTGCTCCTCTGGCTTGGCCACTGGCATGTTCTCGTACAGTCCTCCCTGTTCACACCCACCATGATTCAGCCCCATTCCCACTCTGGCCCTTCATTTTAGACTCCAGTTTCTGTCTTCTCCGCGAGTCACTGGCTGTCTGCATTGACCTTGCTGTGCTCGGACAGAGAAACACAAACTCCTCAGCACTCAGTTCCATAGACTCAGGCTATGTCGTATGCCTCCTCATCCCCACCCTGTACATGTCATCTCCCCTGGACTCTTAGCTCCTTGAGGGAGGGGGTCACTGAGGCAGGTATTGCTGTGGATATCATTCTGTATAAATAAAACACTGATTGGCCAGTGGCCAGGCAGGAAGTAGGCGGGACAAAGAGAGAGGAGAATTCTGGGAAGTGGAAGGCTGAGTGAGGGAGACACTGCCAGCTGCCGCCATGACAAGCAGCATGTAAAGATGCGGGTAAGCCACGAGCCACGTGGCAAGGTATAGATTTATAGAAATGGGTTAATTTAAGATATAAGAACAGTTAGCAAGAAGCCTGCCATGGCCATACAGTTTGTAAATAATATAAGCGCCTCTGTGTTTATTTTATAAGTGGGCTGTCGGACTGCCGGGGCTCGGCAGGACCCAGAGAGAAAACTCCAGCTACAGGTATGACTGCAGATCCATGTGGATCTGCTCAAATTCCTGCAACTTCTCCTCCAGCTTGTGAGCCAGGTCCCCCAGTGCTCCCCCTGACTCTGTTGCTGCCCCATTGTGCAAATCTCTTGAGTCAGTCACAAGGTGATACAGATCCAATCCAAGTGAGACAAGAGTTAAGCCTGCTGCTCTAAATCTGGCTCCTCTGGTCATTGGAAGAGCCAAGCCAGACAAGGCATTTCCCACCTGCTCAAAACCTTGGGTAAAGTTTCTGAGATTCCAGGCCTGTGTTCCTGAGCGAGAGCTGGTCCTGGCCGCCCTGATGGCACGGATCTGCTGACCTATGGTTTTCCAGGCACTGACTAAATCCACACCTGTGTTAAGTGATTTGAAGGCACACTTAGGGATGATCTTCAAAATCTCCTTAAGTATATTCTGGCTGGCCCCAACTAGGCGCCTGGCTTCAACCTCATCTGACACTCTGATTGATTCTTCCACAACGGTGGTGGTGACACCTGTCACACCTGCTGTTGCTCCTAGCCCCACTGCAGTTGCTGAGAGCAGCAGACTGGCCCCTCCTGTGAAGGGGGCCAGAGCTAATCCAAGGATGCCCAGGACTCCAGAGGCAGTGCCGACAGAGCCGGACACCACATTGGAGATGGTGCAGCCCTCGTGCACCTGGTCAAGATGGTCAGCCAGGTCTCGGAACTTCCTGATGTGTTCTTCAAGCTTCCTTTTTAAGTCAGGAAATTCTTCCAAAAGCCTCCTTTTCTGCAGCCTGTCCTTTTCATCTGTGGGCTCCTGTGCTAACTGCTCCTTCAGTGCATCATGCAGTGCAGCTTCCTCCTCGCTGTGACAGAAGAGGTCAAGTGCATGAGAAAAACAGTTATTTAAAGCTAAAACCGTGTTCAAACTTCACTTCCATACTACACACCCAACAGGGAGCAGTTTTACAGAGATCCATAATTTTGCATTCTACCATGAGTTTTGGTACTTCATAGATGCCCAAGGTTCTTAGTCCATAGGGGTCCGTGTGTAAAGTCAAGTCAAGACATTTGATAAAATTAGAGGCACTTGATAACATGACTTCACTCAAGGTCAATATCATCACTATCTGTGGGAGCCCTGCAAATGAACGGGGGATGGGGACTTAGAGCAAATACTGTTTAACTCAGAGAACTGTGTGTGTCGTGAGGGATTCCCCTTTCCCAAGAGTCTCCTCTCTGCCCTCGGCTGCCAGAAAGTCATCTGCAGCCCGTGCAGTACCCAGCCTGCAGGAATGCCTGTGCTTGCCAGGGGAGCTCTGCAATTGCACCATACACAGTGCTCAGCAAGAGTGGATTCTTCAATCTGAAATGCTCCCAAACCTGAGCAACGGAAAGCTCCACATCTGTCCTCAGGGGACAACAATACACAGCGACAGCACATTTGCTTTAAAAGCTTTGCATAAACCAGCTCCATCTACAGTGCACAGTGTCTGCATTAGGGTAGATTTGGATCCTATGTGTAAGATACTCCACTAAATATCTGCAAATATTTCAAAGTGGGGAAATGCAGGATCTGAGATGCGTCTGTTCCCAAGAATTTCCTATAAAAATGCTCAACCTTACGGATGTGGGGTGTGGTGGGAACTCGGGTGCCGTTTCTGACCTTCAGGGGAATGGGAGGCCAAGGCACTGACTTCAGGAAGATTCCCATGAGGACAGTGTCGCTGGATTGATCTATTGTTGGTGTCCCTGTAAGGGATGTGCTGTCTCTGCCTTCCCTGACAGGTGCTGTAAGTCCCCAGGTCTCTGTGTGTACAGAATGGCTCCATCTCTGTCCCCTAGAGCAAGAGTCTTGAGCAATGAATGTCTGCTTTAGCCTGTTTCAGGATGAATATTCTTTCCTAGGGTGGGCTTCCCGGTGTGCAGCAGTCATGTGATTTCTTGGTGTGCAGCAGTCATGTGATTTCCTGGTGTGCAGCAGTCATGTGATTTCCTGGTGTGCAGCAGTCATGTGATTTCCTGGTGTGCAGCAGTCATGTGATTTGTGACACTGTCAATTCAGGACAACACTGTGTCCCGAGGACAAGAAACTTCAAGCTTGAAGCTCTCTAATTCCTGCTTGGTGCATGCTTTCATTGTTTTATTTTAACCCTTTGTGCTCCACAGTCAACTGTAACTATCTTATATGTGAGTTCTCTGGGTGATTCTTGAAAATTCACAATCCTGGTTGGTTTAGAGTAGTCCTTTATTAACAGCTGGTGTTAAATATAAAAAGAAGGGCTCACTGCAACTCTTTTCTCAGTTTTTTCATTTAACTATCTCTGAGAATTAATAATAAAACCCAAAAACAAACCCCTCAGAGCCACAAGTGACCCTCCAGGTAATTTTGCCTGCTGTCTGCTCTCTGCAGATTCCCAAATTCCTTTCCCTCCCTGGCTGGAGCTCACAAGGTCAGTGGCTGCCTGAGGTGACTGAGCCAGGACAGCTGCCACTGACCCTGGCTGCATGCTGACCCCAACCCTGACTCACTCCTGACCCACCACCTGGCAGTTCTAGTTCAGGGTCCTGCAGTCAGAGGCTACCAGACTAACAGACCCCACAGCTGGTGACAATGTCACATTTGAATACAACAAGGCCACGTGCAAAGGTGCAAGGGACCTGGAGATCACTAATAGTGGTAAATAGGCTGGACATCCCCTGAAGTTGGACAAGACAATAAGGGTTGTATTTTCCTCTGAGATGGTGACCTGGGACCCCCTCAGACTCTTGAGTTCTGCAAACCATCCTCCAGCCACACTGACTTTGGGCTCTTGCTTCTAGCCACACATCCTTCCTGATATTCAGGAAGCTCTGTGTAGAACAGAAGAGAGCCCCAAAAAACACCTGAGAACTCCTGAGCACACACAGCTGGTGGAGGGCGTACCCTAGCACATCCCTGCACAACCATGATGCATGAGGTCAGAGCGGAGGAGATAAATGTCCCTTGTCCTCTTGCATGTCCTCTGCCAGGCCTCTTCTTGTGCCCTCAATTCCTCTCTCCTTCCAGCCCTGCTGTCCAAGCCCTCTACCCACACCTCCTCTCTAGGTCACTCACAGTCTCTCCTGATCTCTGGCCCTGACCCTGGCCCTGGTCTCTGGGCTTTGGGAAGGGTGCTGGCACTTGGTTTTCCATCCCTGACCTGTTGCTCACCCCAGGCTGTCATCACCACATCCTTTCAGACTGAATTCCCATTCCTACTGAGCACACTGGGGCTCCAGATCTCAGTGAGGACAGTCAGGGTCACCCCAGCTCTGCAGCGGAGCACTGTGGGCTCTCTGCCTCCTCAGCCCACACAAGGACCCTGTTGTTGTTCCAGCTCCTCAGATGGGAGGAAAGTGACTGAGACAGAACCTGGGGACATGTTGACCATGTCCACACTTCTGAATTGTCCCCTAATGAGTTCTTCAGTCTTTTCTGCTACAAGGAGATTTTTGATTCTGGTTTCTTCACATTAGACTTTCAAAGCTAGCTTTCAGGAGCACCTACTGTGTGCTGAGCACTCCATGTGCATGCTCTTGTTCTGCTTACACTAATTTCAGTGTCAATGACACTAAGTCAGGAAGTGGTAACTAACTTGTCAAAGTCACATAACTAGCAGATGATAGAAGTGGTTCAGCCAGCTGTGGGTATCCCAGCCAAGACAGTGTCCTCCAGTCCTATTAGGATCCAAGGAAAAGTTGATCATTTGAAGTTGTGGCCATGAGAAGGGATTGAATGGGCACATGGGAGAGATGAGGAACAAGGTTCTGTCATCTGAGGGTGGGACCTGTGTGTATCAATGGTAATAGCTAATACAGATGAAGGGAATATGGCACATGAGTGTGGACTCCCATGTTAGTGTTCATGGTTTCATTGGGAGGAGACCCTGACTGTGGACACTTGCTCTTGCTCTGACCCAACCAGCTTATTGATATTTGGATCAGTTTCTTAAAGATCTCATAACTGTAATTTCACTTGAGGTCTTTCTTTGGAATGGCATCATTGCCCACACTCTACATGGTACTCTGTGGGCAATCAGTGCCCACAGCCACTTCTCTTCCTTCTGTATTTATTCTTTACTTTATATCATGTGGATAGCAATGGATCAAGGCCACCATCACACTCTGATCAGCAGAGAGCAGAAAGTTAACTCTATGAATCCATCCTGAAACTTGTCAGCATTCTTAAAAATTCTCCTACATTTTTTCCTTGCAGAGCACTAAACTCGTTATGGAGAGCTATCATGGCATAGGGCGAGGTGTGAATGGTCATCATGACTGTCCACTTGGCTGAACTGCAGGACAATATGCAGGTTAATAGAGCTTGCCTCTGGTTGTGTCTGAATTTTCAGAGATTGCTTGGGGAAGGCTTGGACTTGAGTGGATAACTTAGTGAATAGCAAAATTCTGAAAGGTCTGTTAGGAAGTGGGGTATTCTTAGAGACAGTGGGTCACTCTGAGCATGTCACAGACTGGTTCATCTTGGCTGTGTCTCCTTCCTGTCACTCCTTGTCACTTCCTGGCTGCCATGTGGTGAACTGCTTTCCTTTGCCATGCCTGCCCAATGAGCTTGACCTCGGCACACACTGCAACTCCACTGATCTGACTGTGTCATTTCCATGTGTTCACAGTAGTCCTTGATTATTAATCACAGACATGGGTTCATAGAGCCCTTGTCACATCAAGGTCAAGAATTTTCTATCACCAAACAGTGACATCCTGGTGTATAGCCCTCAGGGTTCTGAACCTTCCCTATTCCCAAGGCAACTGCCCAACACTCCACTTCATCCATCATTTTTCATTTCAATAGTTTAGTTTCATAACAGAAATCACAGATGTTATAACCCATTACAATTGGCTCTGTCTTTACTAAGCACATGCCATTGACATCCATCTGTAATGGTGTGGGCACCATTATTCTTCCCTTATCTGTGGTTGAGGAATCACAGCTCAACATGAGGACCCTCTTAGTCTTCCCCATATCTCAGGACACCCTCAGAGCCTGATCTGAATGCAGTATCCCTCCAGGGGCAGCAGCTGCAGGCACAGTCCTGTTTCCTGACACTTGTGTTTGGCCGGGACAAACCTGGTCACAGCTTCTCCTCTGCACTGTCCTTCCTTCCCTCTGTCCATCTGTCATGTCCCTTTCATTTTCCCTGAGCATTTTCTGGTCTCCTTCTACAGACTTTTCCTTTGTTGATAGCAACTTCAAAACCCGAGACACATTATTACATCACATGAATTCATTTTAAGTTCTTATTATATGTTGCTCTTTTTTGAAAATATTCTGCTTCCTACTAGAATACCTTCATCACCCATAAAGTAACACTGTACCTACGAGAAGTGACAACAGGCCATCTCCATTCTCCCCTCACACCCACCATGGCTTGTTTGTCTCCTTCGTAAAGGAAGGTCTGTTCCTAGGTGGACAGAACTGTGGAGGTGAGGTGGCCCTGGACTGGAAGGCTGCAGGGATCTATCTGGACACTGAGCACTGGACACCTAGTGGTCATTCATTCAAAGTGCTGTGGTGCAGTGGTTCCCAGAGGCCTGAGAGCCTGGAGGAGTGCAAGGACAAAGGGACAGGCTCTTCAATAATTGATGTCCCAAAGGGCCAGACTGACATGTCAGGAAAGAGTACAGGGTTCAAGGTCAAGGGTGTGGTGAGCTCTGGTGATGGCTCTTGGTTAGTTAAGGGACAGATGCTAAGCAGCTGGCACAGAGTTCACTAACACAGCACATGGGCTCAACAGTAGAGAGGACTCAATGAACTTGGACCCGAGGAGCAAGTTGCTAGGCAGCTCAGGATGCAGGTAGCTTTCTTTCCCATGTTCATTCAGATCTCCGTTCTGTCCCTGCTCTGCACCCCAGGGAGATGATTCTGTCCACATCCAGCTTTCCCTTAGGCAGACATTCCAGTCCGGGAAGGACAGAAGGGGCTGTGGAACACAAGAAAGTTCCTCTAGAGGACAAGACCTAGGCTATGCACAGGTCATCTGTCAGTCTCCATTGGTGAAAACTTGGGAGGAAGGTGCTTGAGCTGCAAGGGAGGAGGGGACACTACTCGGTGTTGCCGCCTAGGGGAGCATCTGAGGCCAGAAGGGGAGGGCAGCAAAGAGAAGGAAATGCTTCTTGTCTAAATTTCAAATATTCTGGGGTTGGAGAGATGGCTCAGTGGTTAAGAGCACCTGTTGCTCTTGCTGAGATCCTGATTTCAATTCCCAGCTCCTACACGGTGGCTCACAACCACTTATACCTAAGATCCATCAGATCTGATGTTCACTTCTGACTTTTTTGGCCACTTCATAGACTTCGTTCACACATAGACATGTAGACAAACACTTGTCCACATAAATAAAATATTTCTTTTTAAACCACAGGAAAGTAAACAGTTTTTAAAAGAGGAGTTGATGAATACCAGGAGACAATTATCATCTTTCTATAGTCAGAAATCCAGAAAACCCTTGATATTATTTGCAGAAAACACACAAAGCATGACTAGGTCAGTGTTCACAAGTTTACTCTTCAAATACTATGGAGCAAGTGTAGCCCTTCATGTGCATCTCAGCAGAACTCGTCCAGTTCCAGCAGATTTTAAACTTCAATAGGAAATAAACCTTGTGATTTTCCCCAGAATCTGGTAGCAGAGAGCAGAAATGACCAGCCATACCCTGTCACCTCTCCTTCCTTGTGGCACCCATGGCTGGCACTAGGACCAAGAACCTGTGATGACTGTACAGATGACATCCGCAGCATCCTTTCCCTTCTAGTCTCTGAGCATTTCACCAAAAGAGACATCACTCCACGTGACCAAACTATGAACAAAGATATGGGGTTTGTTGTTGGTTGTCTTTGCTCCTTTGGCCTTTTTGGGAGGCCTGCCACCCAGCTCGAAAATAAACCACACATGGAGGCTTAGTATTTGTTATGAATGCCCAGTCTTAGCTTGGCTTGTTTCTAGTCAGCTTTCCTTACCTTAAATTATCCAGTCTACCTTTTGCCTCTGGGCTTTTTCCTTTTTTACTTCTGCAATCTTACTTTCACTCTTACTCCGTGGATGGCTGTGTGCCTGTGTGGCTGTGTGGTTGTGTGGCTGGCCCATAGCATCCTCCTCTTCTTCTTCTCTCACTCTTTCCTTTTTTCCTTCCAGATTTCTCCTTCTATTTATTCTCTCTGCCTGTCAGACCTGCCTATCCTTTCTCCTGTCTTTCTATTCAGCTCTTTATCAGACCATCAGATGTTTTAGACAGGCAAAGTAACACAGCTTCACAGAGTTAAACAAATACAACATAAAAGAATGCAGCACATCTTGGCATTATTAAATAAGTGCTCCACAGCATACACAAATGTAACACATCATAAAATAATATTCTACAACAGGGGTTCATATCCAGAGTCTGATTGGAAGATTGAGAAATACTTAGAAAAAAAAAACAACAGATAATTAGGCAGAAGTAGGAAGGAGGAGAAGGTTTCTATGCACACATTTAGAAAGTAGTGGGAAAGTTGGCAGCTCAGGGGACAGTGAGGATGGTGAGCCTCAGCCAGGAGCAGTGTGGTGGGCATGACTGAGGAGGAGCCATGCTGTAGCTTAGTCATGCCTTGGATGTGCTCCGCATTTTGGGAGCTTGGTCCTCATGTGGGATGTTGGGAAGTTGTTGGATCTAAGAGGTGGAGTCTATGGGAGGTCCCAGGCCTGTCCCATCTGTGTTCTGGCTTCCTTTCTCTTAATGTGGCCTCCCGCTCTAGCAGGCACTTCCACCATGGTGACATTGCTGTAGAGGGGATACAGACAGGGTCTATCAGGTGTATAGAGCACCCCCATCCCCAGTCCTCTGAGCTGCACTGAAGAAGAGGTCACTTTGTCAGGCTGTCAAGGACCCGGATGAGCTCCTGCAACTTCTGCTCTAGGTCCTGAGCCTGCTGCCGCAGCTTTGCAGCAGACTCTGTCTTCGAACCCTCGTACAAATGCTTTGAGTCTTGCACAAGGCTGACCACATCCAGCACCAGGAAGAGACCTGCGGTAGCTGCACCCATGATCCGGGCTCCTTTGGACATTGCCAGAGCTGTGCCTCCAAAGGCTTTCTGCACCTGCCTAGTGTTTCGGGCTGACACCCTCCCTGTCGTCATGAGACGCTTGGCATTAGATGCTAGTCGAGTGTTAGCTTTGGCCAGCTTGATGGCATCAATGTTCTTCTTGATGACTTCCAGGTTCCGGAAGGAATTCTTGGATACAAAAAGAAGCCTGGGGGTGCTCTCCAAAATTTCTTTAATGACCTTCCCTGGGTCCTTGCTAGTTGGCATCAGCTGGCTAGCTTCAGCTTCCACAGAGGCCGTTCTGACCTTTTCTACAATGGTTGTGGACACACTAGTCATAGCTGCTCCCACCCCCAGTCCCAAGCCTGTGGCTGAAAGTCCCAGACTGAGTCCTGCTGTCACGGGTGCCAGAGCGAGACCAAGGATGGTCAGGACTCCAGACACAGCACTGGTGGAGCCGGCCACCACTTGTGTGATGGTGCAGTCCCTGTGCACCTTGTCAATCTTGTCTGCAAGGGCGCGCAGCTTCCCGATCTGCTGCTCAAGCTCCAGTTTCACCTGAGGATAAACTGCCAAAAACCTTTTCTTCTCCTGCAGGTCGTTTGGGAGCTCATGTTCATCTTCTACATCAGGATCTGCAATGATCCCACCAAGAGCTTCACGTAAGGAAACTTCCTCTTCCCTGTGACAGGAGAGGACAATTGAGTTAGAAAGACAGCTTGTAAGATAAGCTCACTCAAGTGCAAGAAGTACACACACACACACACACACACACACACACACACACACACGTATATGCACAAATTAAAAACAAAACCTGTAAAAATCAACTTTCAATGAACACATGTGCTCTGCTGGGCACATGCTATATGTTGGTCCTACACCTAGCCTTCCACACCAATCCTCTGATTTTTCTTACAATGAAGTTCAATGTCTCCAAATAAAGCACAAGGTCATAAACTAAGTTCTCATGGTCACAGGAACAGCAATGGCAGGAACAATCTTGTCCCCTGTGGCTGCCATCTC